TGTCTCGCCCAAACCCCCACTCCTTAGCCTTTTAACTCTGCTACATTCACTGCGAGGCATTCCCCGTTTAGCCTATTAATCAGCCACTTACTGTACAAGGTGACTGTCATCTAATGTTGGAATGAGCTGAGGGAGCAGAGCCCGTGATGATGAGTTCTGCCTTGCCTTGTATTCCCAACAGAACCGGGCCCAGCAGCACAGAACTTCAGGGACTGAACTGTGTCGGCCTGTCTGGCTCTGCCTTCGTTAGACCTCCTGTTTCAGAGTCACAGGTGTAGAAGAAAAGAGTTGACACCGGCATCAGACAAATGGGAAAACCCTCCAGACAGAATAAATTATCAGACAATTTTTTAGCTCTGGAAGTGTTCCCCTTGTCCTCTGGGATAATTGTGTGATGCTAAACTCCRCCACCTGCTGGCTGCGCGGCAGCAGTGTCGCGTAAAAAAATCTAAACACGCGCGCAACGTCTTCACAACAATTGATTGTAAAGCGCTTGAAGAGGGGGCGGGGACAACAACAGCTTGAGAAGAATGAGCCTTTAAGTGGCRGGAGTCTTGTGTGCAGCACATGACTCGTTTGTTGCCTCTGTGACAGCAGAGAGTGACCACAGTGTGAGGTCACGGTGCTGAGGAGGGCTGTGCCAGGCGCCACGCATGAAGAGCTGCAGGCTACGTTTGTAAGAACAGGTTACATGTAGAAGTTGGGCACTTTAAATGGGACATAKTGTATCATGCAAAATCCACTTTTTTTAGCRATTAAATACATTTTGTTGTGTACTTGGAGTCTGTAGGAGTGCAGAAAAGTTGAATTTAGTCTCTCCTGGTGCTGCAAAATGTCTTTGTTTTCTGTTTGGGTCATTTTTTTTTCAACCTGTTTTCTTTGTTTTCTATGACGTTTATGTAATGTAAATAATGATGTAATTGATACTGAAGTATTCATACAACCGATACCAGAACTTTATACTCTAGTATCAAAACTGAAATCAAAATACCGATATTTTGAAACTTCAATCATTTCAGGTAATATATATGATTAACTGAAACACAGTGGACAGTAACTAAACTATTGAAATCTTGTTTAAATKTGTGGGAACTYRTTTTTCTTCTGCCTAGCTAATGTGTAAGCACATGCTCAGTCTGTAGATGTTATGAGTTATTTTCATGTTGATATGTTCATAAATTAAGATTCAACTTTTCATTTTTATAGCATTTTTAATAATTGAATAGCAATTTAATTTTAATAGTTTTTTTTATTATTTTTCTTATTTTTTATTGTGTAAAATACTATTTTCATGTTTTATATGATTGTGTCATTTTGTTAGTTTTTTCTGTTGTATTAGCTCAMCTGTGTTGTTAACGAGGACATCAATATACATCAATACTTCTGAGTGTAACATGAATAAATTATTTACTTGGGTGTCTTGTATTCTTCATGAAGCAGTGATTTGATCAAATTTACCAGGTGTATTTGCACAAAGTATCACAATAAGGAGTTAGTTAGGACCAAATCATTGCAGTTCCACTTTATACAGACCCCAAATGAAAGATTTAAATGTGCAAAAAAAAGGATTTAAAAGTAAATAAAGTACTTTAAAAAAAATCTAATAAAACAAGCTGGTAATATAGCTGTAGTCATGGGAAAAGAAAATACACCCTCAGCACTTCAGCAGGATTAGAGGCTGGATTTAGGATTATTGTATAAACTTTGATTCTTTTTAAGTTCTTTTGTAGATTTGTTTCTGTTTGGAGTCATTGTTCAGCTGCATGACCCAGTTTGGTCCAGTCTTTAGTTTTCTCACTGCTGATGTCTTATTATATACAATTAATTTATTCTCAAATTTTGACTTTTAATTCTGTTTTGTTTTGGAATTCCATGACTTGTACTGTAATATAAATCACTAAAAAGTGCCACGTTTTATGGTGAAATAATCCTTTTTCAGGTGGTTCGTAAAACTTTCTCTTAAACATTGCTTTGTCGAATGTTTTGTTTTCTCTTTCAATGTTTTATTGTTTGCTTTTTACATAAATTTATAGTTTTATTTGCAATTTGAAATATGATATTCATATCATAATAATCAGATGTAAACAACTTAGACAACAATTAAATCAGAAATTTAGTAAAAAAGGCAAATTTATACAAACAAATACAACCAAGAGTGTTTCAGTTCAATAATGTAATTGATGTTTTATCAGTGTGCCAAAAATAAGCCTCTGTCAGGGGTCATGTTGAATGAACCCACGAGCAGGCAGACACAAGGAGCTCAAAACAAAATGTATTTATTAAATGAAACAAAAAAGCCGTCAAGGCAGCTCATGAGACACAGGGAGACAGAAGGGCAAGCCATGCGGGAACGGACAGTGACCACTTTCTAACAGGTAAGGATCGTGTCGTTTAAATCGTGTTTTCAGATATTTTACTGAACAGATACTTAGAAAGACAGGTAAGATATGGCTGTGTCCAAATTCAGAGGCCGGMTCCTCCGAAAGCCAAATATGTCGGTCGCTTACATCACAGTGCTGCGTCGCTGTCCAAATCCAAAGACTCCTCGGATGCAGCCGAGAAATGCATCCTCCTCTTTCCTCGATTTGAAGGACTGGTCCGATAGATCCTTCTCGGCGCACCATATCCCATAGTGTCCTGATGCATCTCAGTAATCCAGGTAGAAAAAAAATAAAAAATAAAAAAATAAGTAGGTCCTCTGGATGGGTTCTTCTTTAGTGAAACGTTTCGTCTCTCCTCCAAGAGACTTCTTCAGTCTGATGAGTTTCAGGTGAACTCAGCCTTATAAGCACTGCCTCCACANTGGACAAACAGGGTAGTCACATGCAAAAGAGGGCCATCGCCTAACAATAGGCTTGATTAGCTCCATTTAGTCACATGCAAAAGAGGGCCATCGCCTAACAATAGGCTTGATTAGCACTATCCCATAATGCATTGTGTGCTGACCGGAGATTTTTTCTTTCTGCTAGTTATGGTGGACGAAGCAAGAGAAAGGAAAACAGTTTTAAATAAAAATCTGTTGGTATAAAAATTAAAGTTTCAACATCTGAATTTGGACACAGCCTGTATTTACGTCCTAGCTTGGCTGTCCCCAGAAAAGTTCGAGTGCTAATATTGTTAGCAGCTAGCTACTGAAATTTGGCATTTTACATCTTACCTTACTATTTTTGCAATACGGTGTTAGTTGACCTACATTGTAGAAATGCAATGAGGCTCAACATTTACATAGTACATACTACTCCAGCCCAAATTTGGGTATACAGAAGCTAAATAAATTATTTACAAGTTGATCCAAGCACATAGAAACATCAAGGGTTAACTCATGGTTAGTGATAGTGAAAGCATTGTTATCATAGGCTAATTAATTACTTAAAATAGCACAACTCACCCAGGCAGAAACAAGTCGACAGCCATTTAAAGCTTCTTTGGATCCTAAATGACCCAAGCTGAAACAGGCTTTAAAAGCTTTCATTTGGCTCGTATAACACGAGGTCCGCAGCACCAGACAGTTTTAGTCAATTGCCTTGATGCCGAGTAAATTCTCCAGATTATKTCGTTTTAATTGAGACGGTGTAGATCATGTCCTAAATGCATGCGTGTTTTTTCATCTGCGCCAGCCCATTTAGGGCATTAGTGTTAGCTATTAGCTGTGTTCCATTTCGCTGTGTTTTGAACTGGAGCAAATCACTTCTTGCCCCCCATCCGGGTCACAGGACTTCAACCCAGCCATTCAATTTGTATATGTCCAAATAAAGCTTCCATCTTCAACATKTGCCAGTGTGTTGGCATAAAACCTTGTGTGACATGGCCCTGATAAAACACGTGCTTTTTATGATCGGTTATTCAAACCATTTGATCTGGCTGATACTTTTATACTGAAAATCTGTGGAAGCAACTTGAATTTAGATTGAATAATTTTTTTACTGTATGACTTCATYAGTAAAACTTTGGTATTAAAAGAGCGGATTTTCTTTTCCCCATGATTGTATTTGTTGTTGTCACTGAAAACAAACCTCACATCAGTGTGTTTCAAGGAATGGGAAGTTTTGGGAATAAGGTTGTTTATCATTTGCATGTGTTGTTAAAGTTTTCAAACGAAGTAGAAAGTTTTCCACATGTCCTCTCAAAAGTCAGTGATGATGCTGAACATGACATCACAAATTCCTGCCGTGTTTTCATAATTACTTTTGAGTTTAAAAATGAAGAAATCAATAATAATTTGTCCACAGTGACTGGATGTTTCAGATCTTTTGAAAATGGGCCCATATGAGCAAAATCTTGGATAAACTTTCCAGATTAGTTTTAACACTGAGATCCATGTAAATCTTTTATTTTCCTGGATTGTTTCAGTGTTCTTTTGACTTGTTCATCTGAATCAGGTGTTCAGCTTGTCTGCAACATTTGCTTATGAACTGAAGCTGTGCAGAGGAAGACGGCCAACATCAAAGCTCTCTGCAGGATTTTGTCTCGTGGGGGCGGTTTCCCTTGATTTTTGCTGTGTCAGTTCTATCGGCTGTACCAAACAAATCCAGTTATTTTTGGGAGTTTTACGGAACACAATGGGTGGGAATGTCTGGTCTCTTCAGGAAATTGCTTCCACAACCCCAGACAAAGTGACAGACTGTTCCCACACCCTGTTTCAAGCCAATAACAATAAATGACATGTTTAAAATAAGGTAGGAAAATGTGAAATTATGTCATTTGTCTCTGCAAATGGAAACATTTCACCTTCTTGAACTAGAGCGTTTAGATGTTTGTTTTTGTGCGTGCTGTGTCGAGTGTGTGTTTCTGTGGGGTGGGGGGGGGGGGGGGGGGGGGACGAAGCCTCTGCAGCAGGGGCCTCGTGGTTCTGCCCTGCCCTCCCCTGCACTCTGAGCCAGTGTTTTGGACTGGGGCCCAGGACTGAGCCTGAGGCACACCGCTCCTCTGCTCCAGCCTCTCAACTCTTACTAACATTATTACATCAGCCTGGGAGAAATAGAGGACCAGTGTGTGCGTGCTGGAGCTCAGATGCTCCCCTCAGCGTTTTGCTCTGAAGCAAAACAAATTGGCCGGCAGATCAGCTCTTCTTTTTTGCTCTGCAAGCATGAGGCGTCACCGTTTGAGGTAGAAGGGCTGAGAGGAGCAACTGGCAGCCATGGCTTTGAGCATCATACGTGGAATGGAAGACCTGGTGGCATCGAGCAGCCAGCTCGTCTGGAGTCTGGCTCATCAGACGCTGAGGAGGTTGTACAATCGTGGGCTGATGCCGTGTCGACGCTTCCTGGAATCCTGGTTCAGGATAGGAAAATGCTACCAGGTAAGTCAACTTTTAGATCCATGACAGCATGAATCATTGCTGGAGAAGGAAGGAACACTTTCCACATAGCAGGTTTCGAGGTTTCCAACTGAACTGTTGGGATTAGTTGTCGGATTTCCTTCCTTTGGCTCAACTTTCCTCTGAATTGGCACTTTTTCCTCATCTGGCTCATTATRGAATGCCATGTTTGTTGTAAAGAGGTGCAGGCTGCAGCCACAAAACATGATTTTTAACAAGGGTCCCTTTCCCTGCACATATGGCTGCAGTTTGAAAAGCAGCAGGAGCAGTTGTTTGATCTCTCTGTCTGGTCAAAGAGGGAAACTTTTAAAGTTGTCTTTGATTTGTGCTGTTGCTGAAACACCTGAGTGCTGTTGTTATGTCAGGAAACCACCATCATGTGGCAAGAATAATTTCCATTGAAGTGTATTTTGATGACTGTCCTTCTGGGTCTTCAAGACCTCAGCAGTGATGGAGTGCTTAAAGAAATGACTCAGTAGGCAAAAAATTATTCTTGAACAGTGAGGTTTATTCAGAATAACAGCCTAAACCAAATCAAGAGACTTCGGGACAATTATGTGAAGTACTCCCCAGAACTTTCTGGGTCTCCCCTTCTTATAACCTTCTARCACACCCAGATGTAAACAAAGCAGGATCAACCTACATGTATTCCTTCTATGGTAAAGGAGTTTGCTCCTAAAATGTATCTTAAGTCACACAAACATGTTTACCACTGAAAGCTGTTTAACAAATGAGCTAAGGATGAGCGCATTCTTCCCATCCTTATAAGGAATTGCTGAGTCGTGAATTTAAGAACAAACAATTGCTTGACTGAAACACAATTCTATAGGATGACTTCATACACCTCACCATTAATGACTTCAAATAAAAGCTCATGTACAAGTGACACTGCTTGTGTTTAAATGTTTTATGTCATTTAATGTGTATTTTATGTATTATAATTACAATATGTGTAATGCATAGGGATTGCACGGTAGCTCAGTTGGTAGAGCTGTTGCCTCTCAGTGAAAGGTTGCTGGATTGAATCTTGGCTGGGGACCTTTTTCTGTAGAGTTTGTATGTTCTCTCCGTGCATGCGTGAGTTTTCTCCAGGTTTTCTGGTTTCCTTCTACAGACCAAAAACATGACTGTTAGGTTAATTGGTAACTCTAAATTATCTTTAGGTATGAGTGAGAGAGTGAATGGTTGTTTGTGTTATTTGTCTCTGGGTGGTCCTGTGATGAACCTGTCCAGGGGGTACCCCACCCCTTACACTGACTGCTGGGTATGGGATAATGGGTGGATAATACATTTTTTTAAATATAAATTTAGGAGAGGACAAACTTCAATAAGTTGGGGGACAGTGTGTTTMTCAAAAACAATAACAACAACAACAAAAAATAAGTATGTATCTCAGAAGTTGACCGTCACCCATATTACTGTATMTGGCTCATGATCTATATGTGACCACAACATTACAAACCTCTTTAAATGATTTTCTGACTTTTGGTTTTGCTGCTACCTCCCATTAAAAAAATCTCTGGAGATACCACTGCTCAGGTGGTAATGTCCCAGACACATTTATCTTGAGTTTTTTTTCTCCAAGAGGAGCCRTGCCCTGAAAATATGGTCCTTACTTCAGCTTCACAATTGGCTTCTCAAAATCCAATCGTTAGAGAACTTCTTGGAACTATTTGATGAAAAGAGTTAAGGATTTTGAGTCATGCATGTTTTTTTTAAAGATGAATATGAGGTTTAGTGGTCGCTCTTTGTTTAAAGCCAGTCTACTTATTAAACTGTTTTGTTTCTTTCTTCCTGTTTTGGTGCCGCTGGCTGAAACGGCTCAGCACTGATAGATTCAGCCCCTCTGAAGGGGCCTAGACGAACACAACTCCTATTGGTTGCTATAGATTTGGTGTTTACAGCCGTATATGTAAAACAGACAGATCTTTACTATCCTAAGTTTAGAGATACTGAGATTAAAAACGCTCCACGTGTGCAGCTGAAATGTGAGTGAAACAACTGGTTTCAGTGTTTGAGTCTTAGCGTTGTACTAAATTAGTGTGACTGCAGTGCCGTCTTTTGATGAGCTGCACTCAGAGAAACATACTGTAACTGTCCCCGAGGTTCAGGGCAGTGGAAAAATAGTTTGAGCTGTATAAAAGTGAAAGGACAGCTTTGATGTGGTGCTAAAACAATATGAGAAGGGAGACTGAAGTTTAGGACCACACCACAGGGCGTCCTCCAGTCCTGTCTGTACTTCAACATGACTGAGTTTCCAACGTAGGCTACAAAACAACAAGCATCAGGCCACATTTTTATTGGTTTATTTTAATTTTTTTAACAAGTAACTGAGTTCTGGACATGTTTAATGGGATAACACTGAGTCAATAACAGCACTCTGTTAGAGCTGAGCTCTAAACAGAAATAAAGTTGACTTAATTCAGCCAGGTTTTATATTTTTTTAAAGCTTTGAACATGTATTCAAAGTTATTGTGACCACATACATATTTACCACCTGAAGCTGAAAGGGCAGGAATGTTTTTGTCTGTGCATGTCTTCGTTTGTCTGTCTCATTAACCAGTGGATGAAATTTAAGAAAATTTACAAAATGAAAAAAAGCAAAGAGGCATGCATCTATTAGCCCTGTTTTACGCACCCTTCATTGGCTCCCTGTTGTCTTTCATGTGAAATTGAAGGTTTTATTGATAGTTTTAAAATGTTTAAACTCTATGGGTCCATTTTACTTAACTAAACTCTTGCAGCCCTACATCCCACCCAGAGCCCTGAGATCTGGCTGGCTGTCCCTAAAGCCAGCTTAAAGACTAGAMGTGACGGAGCTTTTGCTGTGGCAGCACCCAGACTGTGGAGCAGTCTCCCTTTGTCTTTAGGCTCTCTCAGTCAGTGGGTCAGTTTAAGTCCAGACTGAAAACACATCTATTTTCCCTGGCCTTAACACTACTTAAAAAGGAATAATTTGTACTTAACTTGATTTGGGTTTTTGGAAAATTGCTGCAACTGAAATACTGAAAAACTGAAAAACAACTACCGGTAGACATGGGTTTTTACGATGTAAAAACAAGTGTGCGTTGCCATGTAGCATGTCTTTACCTGCAGCAGTGCACTTGCAGAATGAACGGTGACCAATTTCAAATGTATTTTCTARACCWGCTTGTGCTTGTCAAGTCAGCAGGTGTTTGTAATGAGGGTAATTGTGTGACAATATGAAGTTTGAAGAGAATTTTTGTTGAAGTTGCTGTAGCTGGGTTTTGAACTCTGCTCTCCCACATGAAAGCCCATGGCATTAACCATGAGACCATTGGAGCTGTGGCAGAGTAGATTGCCTGGGGTTTGTTTATATGTGTGCAGAAAGAGGCCGCATCGCCAATGCAGTTGTTGACACTAAACTGCAATTTATTATAACAATAAAGCAATATTAGGGCAATATTATAGTAAAACATCACAATACTAACATATTAGTATTGTAAACACTGAACTACTGAGTTTAAATATTATTATACTATGGTGCAGTACTGAGTAGGTACAGCAGGGGGCAGTATTGGACCAATACGAGGCTCCATTAACTCCCATTATAAATTATTAAACATTGATATTTCAAAAACTATAAGTTGTACAGGTACCAAAAYGCATAGCCATCATCTGGTACAGGAGCTTTACAGATATAAATTACAATGGCAACTCTAGGACAAAGTTTGCAGGAGGAGAAGCGTGCCAAAGTGGAGATGACTTGGATGGGAAATGAATCACAATAGTGTGCACTGCATTGGCAATGCACACTGCCTATAAATCTGTTAATTTTACAGATATTGAGCTACAATTTTATGTGGAAGTGGACATCCTCCTCACCACATACTGTAAATACACAATGACCAGTAATGCTGCTTAAAACTTTGGTACTAGTTGTTGACGTTAACCCACAAAGCAAAATTTGTCTGGCTCAGTTCTGGCCCACACYAAATAACACTCAGCAGATACTGCAAAGAATGATGATCCAGAAATGGTTTGTCAGAGGTGGTCCATGCATGGGCCAGCACCACATAAACCAAATCACAACCAGACCAGTTGTACCATCTTAAAAATTGTTTCATCATTGCCAGACCTGGCCCACATCCGGTCGATAAACCACTTATCATACCAGAAGTCAACCAGCTCTGGCCCACACCAGTCTGCTATGTGGGCTGTCTGTCTGTTAGTAAAATATCTCACAAAGCACTGGATGGATTTTAATGAAAAATTCAGAAATTACTCATTTATATTTTGAGTTGACTCAATTTCAGATGGTTGCCGAAGCAAATCAAATTACAGACATTGAGTTAAGATTTGTTGTGTTGGAGGGAATGGTGGTGCAGAGGTTAAAGAGGGTGAGCCTGTAACTGGACGGTCACAGGTTTAAATCCCCAGATCAGCACAAAGAATCTGGTGGGAAAGGTGAACCTGCATCTGCACCCTTATTTGTCRCACTGTGAGCCTGCCAGCTGCTCCACATGTGCAAAAGGAAAAATCAAGAGAATGATTTTCTCTATTGGGGATAAACATAAACCAAATAAATTAATAAACCAATAAGAGGCATTCTGAACATATTCTCTGAGGAGAAACATCTCATCCTTTCTCAGCACAAGATAACTGAATTTATAACTCTGGCATYAGTTGGAGGGTGGTGGGCATTCCTTCAAGGATTTCTAGGCCTTTAATCTATTTAGGTATTTTTAAGCCATTTTAAACCCCAGTATAGGCTTTAAATATGAGCCTATTCACCAACATGCACACTTCCTAAAGTGCAACTTGATGACTGATGCTGTAGAGAAGATAATACTTTGGTGCAGTTGCTCTCTAACATATTAAATATTTAAAGGCACAAGATTCATTGAAGAAAATCATAACATCTGCCACCTTTGATGCCAAAGGTTTAGACAAAGATAATCTGTTTTAGTCAAACTCTAAAAATAACATTTAAGTTATGTGCTATTTCTTGTATGACCTATTAGCACTCAGCGTATCAGTGTTGTGAATGATAGTTTGCTACCTCAAAACAACTTTAGCTCAATAGTTGTCAAACTCACTGATGTGGCTATAGCTGTATAGGCAGAGTTTTAAAGTAACTAAGTACAAATACTTTGTTACTGTACTTAAGTAAAATCTTTGGATATCTGTACTTTACTGGATTAATTATTTTTCAGCCTACTTTTTACTTCTACTTACATTTTCACACAATTATCTGTACTTTCTACTCCTTGCATTTTTTAAAAAGGCAAGAAGTAGAAAGTCGTTACTTTTATTTCATTTTTGCTTGTTTTCATTCCAGCTTGTTATAGTAAAATATAAAGACTCTCCATATAAATTGTCTCCTAGATAGAGTGAATGTGGTTGAATATGGAGTATAAATATATTAAACTTTGAAAATGTATTAGTTTGTACACAAACAAACCATGTCACACTCCAGCAGGACATAATCATTAAAATAAAAGGACTGTACTTAAGAAGTATTTGTATTTCATGAGTTATATTACTGCATTTGGCCGCAGCCCTCAGACAGATTTTTATTTTGTGGAAAAGGTTTTTGCAGCCTTGATATATGTATTGTTATGATTGAGCTTGGTTGATTAGAACCCCAAGATGCAGAACTGAGTGGGGTGGCAAAAAGGTGATTTATTAAAACAAAACAAAGGCGCTGACATGGCAGAAAACAAGAACTAGGGATTTTGGGCAGGAACATAAACATCAAAAAGAGAACAGAGAACGTCAAACAGCGAACAGAGAACGTCAAACAGCGAACAGAGAACGTCAAACAGCGAACAGAGAACGTCAAACAGAGAACGTCAAACAGAGAACGTCAAACAGAGAACGTCAAACAGAGAACGTCAAACAGAGAACGTCAAACAGAGAACGTCAAACAGAGAACATCCAA